TTCAGCAAAATGTATACCCACACTACTGGATCACTGCTAGTGATGGAATTTGGCATTAAATACACAACAGGGACTGAGCTTTGTCAATGCTTGTTGTGTATTCAATTTGGCCGATTTCTTTTGAAGATGTATTTAAAAGACATGGTGATGGTTTCTTCCTACTTACTATTTAATTCTACATCGTCATGTAGAAATTTTTTATCCCAACAGGCTTGTACTGAAACTCGCTAGAAATTATAAGTAATTTGAGTGAGTGCTTTATATATCAATGTGTAATTAAATTTGTACAGCCATTGTAGGTAGTCCTTTGCTACTTTCATAATAAATGGAGATGTGATGGATTTCATGCATTGAATTTTGAATTCATCTTATGGCTATGTGCTTTGTAGAGATCATTAAACCAGAAACAGATAACCCCATATTTTTCTAGTTTCGTTCTTCAATCTATTTTTAATCATAGATAAATTTGCCATGTACATGTATATGCATATGTTTTGATGTTCATATCAATCATTCTTACCATGTGATATATGCCAAGTGTTCATAATTAAGGATATGCTAATATGATTTAGAATTACACCATTAAGAAGTGGAATTATATATATTTTAAACTTGCCCAACTGAGAATCCTTGATTTTTGCAGACACATGTAAAAAGCAATCATTATGACAGTGCCAAACAATTAAAATTATCTTGGCCTGAAATTTTATGCAAACATTCCTCTCACTCTATTGATTCTAATCGATTATTTCAATGATTCATCATTCGTTATGCATTATGCTCACCTTTTTTGTCGGATTCAATGTTTTTTGTTTGGTGAGGTGTGGGTCTGTTTGCAGCTCAAAATGAATTATAAATATCTTTGTATTTTGACAAATAATAGGGCTTGACCTTTATGAGACGGAACTGAATAGGTTAGAATGATATAAAATGATGAAATAATAAAAAAAATGTATACTTATATAATATTAAAACCTGGGAGAAGTATGGTGTGATTGATTACCAGATGTGATGGGGATGTTTTTTATGGGAGGCTTCATGTGTGCAGTGACTTACAAATTCCTTTTATGGATTTGGAAGGCATCACTTTGATAACCCGCAATTTATTTTTTCATGCTTATGGTAGGCGAGTTGCAGACTTTACAGTACCTGTCTACATGTGTAGCATCTTAGAAGTGATTAATATTTTGATCATAATTATATGAAGGTTAATTGCAACTCTGACCCGAGATTTGCCACTGACTTCACACATTTCTTTTCTCAGATGATACCATAGATTCCCATTAGAGATTCTAGTTTATTTAAATGTTTCATGCCATCGTAGGGAAATATATTCAGTGTTTCCCCTAGAAGTATGAGAATAATACCCAAGTGGCTATTGCAACCTCCAAAACATTAGCCAAAAATAATTTTCTATAGCCAGTTTCTGTCACATAGAAGCTGACAAATGAAAACCAGGCTTTTACACACACAAAATTGAGTTAACTATAAAAAAAAAAGTGGGACCCCAGAGGGGAGTAAAATTTAAGCATGAAATATAATGTTTATATGAAACACACAACTTTGTGATGTAACTGACATTTATTAACATGTTCAAGTAATAAAAGTGAACATTAGTATTACATAATAGTCTGCAATAGATGCATAAATGTCAATTGTACATTGGTGATATTTTTCTTGGCGTACCAGGACACACTGTGTAGGCCTGCCAATACAGCAGGCTCTGCTTCGGAAAACGCATTTTTCATTGCATGCTTCATATCCCGTGAATGGAAATTTATCTTGCATATGATTGCTGTTTATGACCCCTTGTCGATGCATGTTTCTTCACATTGTCAAGTTTCAGTTTATCACATCCATTAGTAAAGATATTTCGTTTACTTGTTTCTTTACAAAACATCAAGTTCTAGCCATGGATATGATTTAACCCAGTCATCACGCACACCTCGGTTAACGCATGAAGCTATCTTTTTTTAGCTCCATGGTTAACACGACTTCCCATTTTCTTGGTACTTTCAGGACCTTAATTTTTCTTTGGTTTATCATCCGTTTTGACATTTATTTCAACTTCGTGATCGGCCTCAGACTTGTCTTTTTTCGAAGGAGGTGGTTTTACTTGTCCTTCTACGAAACTGTCAACTGTACCCTGATAATTTTGATTGCTACGAGCAGAGCCTTGCATATTGGCAGCCATTTTAAAAGAATGTTATGATGACGTCATTCATATAATACAGCGCACGCTATTGGATAACAAACGGAATGATGTCACAAGATACCCAATTGAAATCAGCCTTACAAAATAGAGTTGTTTTATGATAATTAGACAAGTGTTTACGTGTTTCGATTTTTTTCACGTGGAAATCATTCTTGGCAGGCAAATAGAAAAAGTTCACTCAATTTCGTTATAATTTTAGCAATCGCCAAATGACGAATTGGAGAAACGTTTTATTAGCCATTCTGATTTTTTTTTCGCCACTTGGCGATTTGGCGAACGGTAGCGGAAACACTGATATTATGACTTATCAATGTTGTTATAGAATTTCAACTAGTAGATTTCATACATATTTTATATGTCCCATGTTCTTTGGTTTGTATAATACGTGAACCCAAATAAGGTCAGGGTTTGTTGACCAAAAGAAACCTAATAACCAAGGCATATCAGCTGAGGTCAATAATTGTCTCTCTGTCAACAAAACTAAATACATAATCATAGCAAACACTTATATGAGGGTAACTATTTGGTAAAACCAAAAATGTGTTGAAAGCTGTATTATGCGGAGTTTGGTCAAATAGTGAATGTCATTCCCTCTTTAGCATCCAGGGTACTCCAAAAATCATACAATTTTAGTTCACCGTATGACAGTTGATGGGAATATTACTTCTTTAAAGGAAATAAAATTGTGAAATTAGTTGTGTCATTATTAATTTCTGCAAGAACTCTTTGTGCACCAGAGTCAATTCAATATACTAACTCTGAATAACTACAATATTAGCACATGTGCTTACATAAATGACAGAGGTGTGTTGTCTATGGTAAAATTAAGTTGTACGGTATGTTTAATATTCCAGTATACAATAATGTCAATAAATGCAACTGTTATACAGTTGCTATTTAGTTTGTTTTCATGATACTTAGTATTTTCTGATTTATCAGCATGACAATTAATAAATTTGTGCTGTTCTGATAAGCCTGCTCCACTTGAAATTTATTGCCTGGCCCTACCCTAAACTTTTTTTTCAGACGAACAAAATATGATGTGAAATCACCCGAGATTTTAATGACACTGAAATGTAACTGATTGTTCAGAATTTGGTCCAAATCGGGAGATCTTTATTGTAAAAATCATTAAACACGGCACTTGTCAACTAATCTGCCAGCTTCATCTTGTCTGATGAAGTGTATGTTATTGGAACCACACATTTTTTTTTTTTTTGCCTCATAATATTAAATGATGATACATGCTTTCATAAATTACAGTGATGTTTCTAGGATCAAAATAAGTAATATTTAAATTTTTCTGTATACAACAAGTGCAATTTTAAGTGTATTTGAGATGCGCTTCTAATCGGGAAAATACTGTATAATGATGTCATCAATTCTTCTTCCATGCACATGAACCCAGTATTCCAACGTAATCTGATGCAACTTCTAAATTGTTATTTGTAGTATTATTATTATCTACCACCCTGTCACTTTGCACCATGTGGTCATGCGAAATAATCTTTGGATTAACACATTTGTGTGCATCTGTTTGAACACAACTTATACCGCCACTACATGTACATTATTTGAAGCAGAATTACCCATTTATTGAAGAATGTGTCAAATTGATGATTATTGATAATGCATGTGGGGAACTATGATTTTATTATCAGATTCAAAATGTAATGGCTTTAAGGCAAATAAATATATCATACACGAACAGGTTTGCTAAAGTAATATAAGTCGACACTTTTCAGACGGGGTTCCAATACATACATCAGCCGTGTGCATACTGATACAGTTTATCAGACAGAGAATACAATTTTTAAAGATGTGTAGCCTAGAGTTTTTGATAGTTACTGCAGTAATTAACAATTACTCTAATAATATCACATTTAAGAATAGGGAGTACACAAGCTTGTAATATTTCCAGAAATATGAATATTCAGAAGAATGTTGTGTGTGTATATATATTTGAACTGAATGTACAATTCACAGATAATTGAATCAGCTCACGTTGGTCTATTGCGTAAATAATTAATTTTACTAACCCTTTAATGCATCATTTGGGGAATGTGTCGTTCACTCATAGCGTTCTTTCCTTCAACTAATCTAGCTACGAGAGGAGTGTATGGTGTATAAATAAAGAACCATTCATGAGTGACCCACTTTAATTTAAAAACAAGGATAGTAATTTATGTTTGTT